CAGCCGGCGGCGGGAGCGGGCCGCTACTCACCCTCCGGAAGGCCGGTGAAGGCGGGCTCTGAAACGCCGCCGAAGAAGCAGATGATGGAACGGTCTGACTGTCGCCAGAGATCGTACGCGATTTCCTCAGCTGCTGCTGCTTCCAGCCACCGCCAGCGCCGGAAGAGGCGGCGGAAGATTTGAGATCAGAATCTCCAGTAGGCATCGATGCGGCGAGAAGATCGAACACCTTCCTTGCCTGATCCCTGGCTGCTGGGATATGAAGGCAGGAGAAAAGAGGGAGAACGGGAATGTCTGTCCGCTTTACTTTCTTTTTAAAAAATTAGAGGATTAATATTCTATAATAGTCCATTTTGGGGAGTGGTGAAGAAGTGAGGTGTCGGCACCGCGGCAATGACAAAGGGCACCGCCGGCGGGCCGACGTGGAGGAGAGGAGAGAAACACTCTACAGAGGAGACATTGGCCGGCCTGCTTTTGGCTCGGAAATCTGTCGGGTTTAGCTATACAGTGTTGCAATTTTTCCTCGAAACCACTCGTTTCAGAGCTCAGCTTCCAAAACCGCTTAGTTAAAACATTTGAATTACATGCATATTCCATTTATTCTGTTATCTGTTGTAATTTGATATTTTTTTATCATTTTTTAAATCTGAAAAACCGATTCAATTTTTGCATATAAACAAACTAACCATAACAATATTTACTTATCAAAATTAAAAAATTACAAAAAAAATTAGTTGGCCATTCTGAATACAAATTATTTAAGCAAAAAGAAATTAATTCATTATTTGAAATGAACTTCTAGGATAGTTTTGTTTGGTTCAATTTATTTTCAAAAGGGATTTGCTTAATTGAAATTTTTAAAGTTAAAATAAAAAAATGGATTTAACTGATCTGCAACCCAACTTAACTGAGTGTGTTTGAGGCAGCTGCATGTATTTCAATAAACAATTGTGATGATGTTTTTAGGATAAGTTATTGTTAGAAAGCAGCTGATGGCGAAACATTACGGTCGTTTGAATGATTTATTATATGACAATTGTTTCTGAGAATAAGGATTACAATGCTTTTATACACATATTATAGTTACAAGTTCGCAGCTTCAGATATAATTCAAACAGAACAATAGAAATAAATTTCTGTAGTTTTAAAAATAAGTAAAAAGTTTATTATTTCACTATATCAATTGTGATACATCACATAACACAAAATAAAATGATAATAAAAATTACAATAATAATAAGTAATGTTATTATAATATTACTCTTCATGTTCAAATGATCAAGTGTTCTAAAGAACTTTTATCAAAGCTTTCATCCATATATGATTACTATCTAAAATGGATTTCTCACTATCAACAGCAATCTAAATAAGTTACAGTCGTTAAGTGTTCTAATTCTGGGACACCTACAAAATCTTCTCACATAGCTAGTTTCCCATCTTGAAGTAAATACAGAGCATTACATATCGCAGTTGCACAACAAAACTATAGACATTAGAATTCATTGAACTCATATTTCCTAAGAATGTAAGGTTTTATGCTTAAAATATGTGTATCTAGATGTTATAAAAACAAAATTAAATTTATAATCAAAAAATTAGAGTTAACATGTGATAGAATGAGTAAATAATAAAAAAGTTTAAGTGCTCGGAGTCAACATAAATAAATACATAAGCAGTCACTATAAGAAGGTGAATGAACATGGTTTTCTTTACGTGTTTATTATCAAATTTGTTTATGTTGATGTTTGTACCTCTTTTTATTCTTATCATCTGTGTTTTTCAAATTTTTATTCTAGGTCACCCTTGCTTAGAAAAGTGATGACCAAAAAACTTACCATGAAGAAAGTAGATCAATCATGCAAATATACATGTCAAGTAATAATGCGGTTAAAGAGTATCATATATTGATCCCATGAGGAAAAAACTAAAAACTATTATTAAAGGTAAACCTCTAGTTTACTAAATGTCTAACTCTAGTTTAGCATGATCACAAACAAGAGGTGGAGTTTTTAAATTCTTACTCGAAAATAAAAACAAAAATAGCGAGGTTGGAAAACATTGGAAAGTAACACTAGAGAAATCTTACGATTCTTCAAGGGGGGTGAGGCTTACCCCTCTGTGATTCAGTTATTATGATGATTCGTGGTATTCTTAGACTTTCGCCTACATGATAGTTGTCAACAGGGATAAAAAGTCATCTTTATGCCTATTTCTTTGTCAAAAGAATGCTAGAATTTATGATGTTGAGGCTCTTTCAATTCCCATGACATCACATAGATTTTATTTGATCCCGTTTCTAAGGTGCAAAATACGAATAGATTATGTCTATTCTTATCCAGATTTTGTGGTTAATAATCTTGTTCCTCTGTGCAATGAGCAGCTATAAAAAATCATGAAATATGTTAACATCATAATCGATCATGTCATGAGTGAATTAAACTCAATGTTAACACAACAACTAAGCCCTAATTCCTCAAAAAAACAATACATAGAAAGAAATCATCCAATGAAATCACAAAAATCATAATCCATAAATGATATAGGCACAAAGAGGAATTTAACCACTCAAAATTGAAAGAACACAAAAAATAATCCATCGAAATTCTTATTGCAAGTAGAACTGGAAAGTAAAAACTTACAAAAGAATTTGTTCCATTTCTCAAAGCAGTAAATCCTCCTCCCATACAATTTCTTATCCAAAACAGATAAGAAAATACAATGTGAAAAGAATAGAACAACCCTCGGGATCTCATCCTCAAGCAAGGAAGAGAATCCTGAGCAAGAAGCTCCCCCACCCACAAATTGGGTGCCCTCTCTATCTCCAACTCCAGCCTCCCTTAAGATGCCATAAAGCATCATTTATATAGCCAAATCCTTAGATTTGGCAAGAAAATTCTTACCAAAATAAATTCCCATCTTTTCTGTGTGGTCATGTCAGCTTCCCTAATTCGATGGTGTGGAAATGACAAACTTGAGAATGGTCACACCACCGACACTTGATATAGGGTGTGGTCGCTGATGTGTAGAAAGAATGCTTAAATTCCTTTATGTTTTACACATTTTTATGGATAATATTGTATTTTAAAGAAAAGTATTTTCATGTTTTTTTTTAGGTACAACAGGTGTAGAAAGTGGAGCAATGTGGAGGGGACTTACAATAAGGGAGAAAAATGAAGGACTAGTGCCTTAACGCCAGTCCCTCACCTGTGGCGCTTAGGCTCCACCCACTTAGAATCAAGGCGTTGTGATACTCGTGCTTAGGCACTTCTCCCTTGGGCACCAAGGCTCCTAGGTCATTCTATGAAAACTGAGAGACTGGTGCCTTGGCGTCAACAACTGTCAGAAGCAATTTTAAGCAGCTAGGGAGCCTATCATGGGGAGTATTGGGAAGTTGTGAAGTGATCTATGGGACTGAAAAAGGGAGTCTTTATGATTTATGTATAATGGAGGTATCAGAGGTGAATGAATGTTGTTAAAGGATGTTAAAGAATTGAAGACAGAAGGTCTAGGATTGGTGAATTTAGGGAGATTAATGTCAGTTTATAACATGCTGTAAAATCTCCTCCTTTTTCTTCTAAGGTAGAGAATAAGGAGATCCTTCAGGAGTAGTAACAAGGGAAGCATTTGATGGAGCATCTTGTGTTATAAAGGAGATGAAGATAAGTGTTTGTGTATTTTATTATTTGTATTTCCTTAAACACATCATTTAGTGGAATTTTCTTATTTTCAAATGAAGCTTTGTGGTATGTTCTTCATGCTTTCGAAGCAGAACTATTTACCTTATCTTGTGATGATCAAGTGAGATGTGTAGGAATGTTAAGTGTGTGAAATTGATTCTAATTAGTTAATTTAATGATTAACCTTTAAATCTTCATTTACTTTTCATTTTGATGAAGTGAAATGTTAAAATGTATTGTGAGCCAAAATGACTCGGGAGAGCTATGGTGGAATCAACTAGGCTAGTCACGTTGAACTATAGAATATAGGTGGATATGCTTTGTGAGAAGATGCAAATGTTAGGGAAATAATTTTTGGTTCAAAATAGGATTTATAGAATTAAATTCATTTTAACCTATCTTCTTTATGCACTCAAGAGAGAGTAAAGAAAAGATTTACTCCTTTTTTGCCACTAGTCAATGTTGACCTCACTTTTGGTTGAGGTCTAGAAAATTTCTTTAGTAGCCTAGGTCTAGCCATAGGACTTTCCTATTGACTAGTCTTAGAAAATTAGAAAAGGTACCCCCACCATTAGAAATTCAAAACTCTTCTTTTTACTCAACTTGAAATTCCACATATTGATCTTAACCTCTAGCATTTAGTAGGTAAGATCATTATAAGAGAATTCAAGAAGA